GCATTCCTGTAACATACCACCATGCTATCAGAACTGTTGTTTGTTGTGGAGGTGTGCAGCCGCCTTACAGAATGCTATTACAGTGTTCAAAACCAGAGGGGTCAAATTAATTGTTTTGTCTAAGACTGACTGGCACTGAGCTGAGCATTTTCTTTTCTCCTCATGTCATCAATGTTTTTTCTTTAATTTTTAAGTGCCTAAGAAGTGAAAAGGAATTGAGGGGGAAAATGCAGATTATGTTTTAATTTTCAAGAACAGACTAAAAGCATGCCTAAGATCTTGGTTTATTACCATCTGGATCCTAACACAGCCTACTTGACATCTAAGGGACATTGGATTTACTGCTGCTGAGTTTCTGTTGTCACGTCAGAATTTTGGCACACTTTTTTTATTTTTAAATTCCATTATATTTTAGTCTACAGCATGACTCTTGTCAGCTGAGTTCTAGGCTCCTTCAGTCCTCTGATCTGGCAGTAATAGGAATGACAACTCTCCAAGAAACAAAGAGCAGTGAGTCTAGGAACTGTACTGCTCACTACAGGCGGGATTCAAGTTCCCACAAATCTCGACACACTAGAGGACCTTTGCCACCTGCCCCAGCCAAAGACTGCATATCCTGGGCTTTCTGGAATTCTTGCCCATGCATAGCTTCTGCCAGAAACCAACCCGTGGTCTTCTAACTCCCTTGGTAGGAGAGCTCGTCCCCCTAAGTTCAAGGGAGTAATCCTACTGCTATCAGCATCCTTCTGCTTCTGTGAAGATTCCCATACTGAAGCCCTCTATCACTCTTACGACAGCAGTTTCTAAGGCAGCAACTAAAAAAAAAAAAAAAAAAACATCCAAACAACAATAACAACAACAACAACAAAAACACACCAAGAAAAAAACACCAATACGTAAAGGCAAGATCAAACAGTCGTAAAAATGCAATAGGAAAAAACTCATGATGAAGTTCAAGAGGACCAAAAAAGCACTGTATACCAGGGTGTAAACCCAGTTTTAGGGGTATGACACTGCCTTTTGCATTTTCTGCTTTTTCAATGGATAAAAATAGGCAAAGGCTGCTAAGCTGTAGATGAGAAGTTTTTGGATGCCTAGTTTTTTAAATGCATATATGGTTTATACGATTTACATTGTCTAAAGATCAGATTTTTAAAATTTTTAGTTAGAAAAAAACCCCAACTATTAAAATCATACCATATAAATAAAAACCACAAAGCAAAACCTGCAAGAATATTGTAGTCCATTAATACTTCATGGACCAGCATCTCTCTCATTCTAAAGAGGAATATAGCCAGCTTAATTAGCTATATATCTGCAGAGTGCTTAAAATACAGATCTACTGAAGTTTCTGAAAAGCAATAAAGAAAATGTCGTTAGGATCCTGAAGCTAAAATGGATGCAGAATGAGTAATGTTAGAGTGCTGAAAACAAACAAACAAATAAATAAATAAATAGAAATATGAAACACCAGATGGCAAATTCTGGAAACAGGCATTGCCATGGAAAAGAAGTGGCTATTATATACTCCTAGGGTACAGCCAAACAAAACACTTAAAGCAAGGAAGAATGAAGAAAATATGTTTCAAGAGAGCAAGATACATGAAATCAACCTTAAAGCTGACACCTGGTCCATTATTTTTTAATCCTGCTGTGGATGAATCAGCAAGACATCTCCTGAACAAACAGCCCAGCCTGCTAAGAAAGGCTAAGCAATGAATTCCAGATGGATGTTGTGGCCTTGGAACTTTCCTTTCTCTACAGCTAAGGCAAGTCACTTGCTTATCCCAGCTGGCTTAAAGCAAACACTTAAATTTGTCAGTATTTAAGATTAACTCTTACTCCGCAACGCTTGCTCTTTTCATGATGCCAACAGGGGCTTTTAACTTAACACTTGTTCTATTTACTTAATATTCCACTGAGCTAAGTCAGTTAAACCATGTTTCGATGACAACTCGTATTTTGCACCCATCTCTATTTTCTTTACCCCAAGGAGTACTACCCTATTTGCCATTCATGAAGAGCAGCACCACACTGCTCTGCAAACCACCTGGTTAAGCACAGTCCTTATTTTGCTAATTTAATGATAACTTGGGTCTTCATAACCGAGAGCAGCATTTTTCTTGCTAAAGCTCCCTTTGCATCTGCAGGCAACGCACAGAACGCTGACATTTCACCTGTGGCCTTTACCAGCCAGGTAGCCCCAATGGCAGTGGGAGTCTGAGCAGTGTTCCTGTGGTATATTCTCCTGTCCCTTGGAGTATGGGCAGGGACTCACACTGGAGAACAGGATCTGGCTGTCCACAAAAGCCAATCTGTTTGCCTTGCCAGAGACTCTGCAAGATATTTCCACGATGGAGTCAACCACTTGAGGCAAAAGAAGAGTAACTATAAACCTTTTTTTTTTTTTTTTCCTGTGGGAGCAATACTGAAACTGTTTCGGTGTAAATTTGGACAGTAAAGTTAAGCAGTTTCTTAACAATCATGTCCTCCTTGAAAAGCCAGCTCTTCTGGGATTCCAGTGGAAGTTCTGCATGAGGTTAAATTATAAGAGGCTAAAGACTACCAAAACTCACTGTGTAAGACACTGAAATAGTAAAATGCCAAGAATTTGTATTAAAAAGAGGAGAAAATGGGAGTGCTTGTTATACTCTGGTGGGAATTTTATTTGTGGACAACAGTAGTTTACTGGAAAATGTATTTTTTTAGAACAACTGCATGGGGATGTGCCAATTTATGCCAGGTAAGTAATATCCAGTGAATTGTTCACTAAAAGAAGGGAAGAGGGTGACAGACAGCACAAAACCCTAGGTATAGTTTACTAAGATATCTATTTTTCAAGAATATCACTTAAAGGTCTTAATTTTCTAAGGATGCTGAGTAGGGACCCTTTTCCAGAAATTGCCACTGGAGATACTTGGATGGGGTAAGAGTTTCTGCCTCCTATGCCAGGTTACACGAACCAATGCCTTTTTTTCATTCAGCTCTATTGTTGTCAGTTGACACCAGCCAATACATCATTACATAAGTTTTTGCTCCTCTCCCATACAACATAATACAGCTTCTCATAGACTTTGCTATGCCTTGAACCAGACTCCTCAGGAGCTGTCAGACGGCTGTCTTGAAACAGGCCCTTTTGTACCTGGATGAACACAGGAGATCAACACTGTAAGGACTCAAAGTGTCATCTGCACAGATTTCAAATGCTATTGAAGCCTGACATGGTGAAGCCTGTTATTTAGCCACAAAAGGAAAATGACATTTAAAAAAAAATATATATATATAGGGTATCTACATATGTTATTGAGTCTGCAGGAAATTACCAGTCTACCTACACAATATTTACTGTGAAAATGGGTTTCACCCATGATACTGTTAAGGGAATGATACAGCTTCCCTGCTAGAATCGATCCTGCTTTATCAGTTAAGTGCAACGCTTGCTTTAAACTTGGCTCGTACCACTAAAATGGCTAACGTCATCATCTTCCTAACTCTTTACGGTTATATGCCATCGTTTTTCTTGTGACAAGAAAAAAATAGCCTCACTCGGGAACCTGTGCGTGAGTACAGGGGGTACAACTCGATTACTCACAGTTATTATTGTGATACTTTGAGAATGAAAAACCTGCTTGTG